AGACGAGTGTCACGTGAGTGTCGTGATATTTTGCATCACTGGCCATACTCATACTCGAATCGGTTGAAAAATACACTTAATCTTCTAGTTTACTCGATATCTATCCATGGCAAGCAATATTTTGATAATTGTTTATGTTTTGAGAGTTGGTCCACAGATAGATTGAGGTTAAGGAAACGCCACTGGTCTGTCTGTCTGTCTAAATCTTATAGTGAGTCTACTGAACCGATCAGCGTGAAAATTTGTATGCAGGGGTTTTTGGAGCCGCACAGTGGGGCAGCAAAGCCATTCGTATGGCCAAAACCTCTAGTGCCGTTAGTTTGCTTTCTACAGCGATACAAAGTTGCTCAATATTAAAAGCGCCATCTTTTGAAAATTTCATATTAGTTCATTTTTACGCCACATAGGTGGCGCTCGAGTCTATCTTTTGAACGGAGCATCCTAGCCGAATGGTTTTTACCGCAAAGTTGTGTAATTTGAAGTGTTGAGAAATGTTGTCAAAGAAATCTAAACTCTATGATTGACATTAAGCGAGATATTGGGCAATTAGGAAAACTAACCTCTAAAATTGCGTTTTTTCCTTTTTTCACCCATATATACGTCAAATGTATGAGTTTTATACTCTGATAAGTAACAAAATGGTTTGACTCATGCAATAAATACCCACTATTTTATATACCATGCTTTATTATATAGTTATTAACATAAATGTCTCCAAAAAGTGATAAATAAAAATGTCAATTACTCAAAATAGAACAAAAAGTAACAGCCAATTTTTTTACAGTGATTAGTGTTGACTTTGTTGGGTAAAGTAACGACCACAGTTCAACAGGCAACTGCAGGCATTTTCATATAACATTATTTGAATATTGCATATGGCTTTTTTGAGACTTTTATGTTAATAACTTTATAATAAAGCATGATACATAAAGTAATGGGTATTTATTTGATGAGTCAAAACATTGAGATAATTATCAGAGTATAAAACTTATACGTTTGACGTATATAGGTGAAAAAAAGGAAAAAACGTTATTTTAGAGGTTAGTTTTCTGAATTGCCCGATATCTCGCTTAATGTCAATCATAGAGTTTCGATGTCTTCGACAACATTTCTCAACACTTTAAATTACACAACTTTGCGGTGAAAACCTTTTGACTAGGATGCTCCGTTCAAACGATAGACTCGAGCGCCACTTATGTGGCGTAATAATGAACTAATATGAAACTTTCAAAAGATGGCGCTTTTAATATTGAGCAACTTTGCAAAGCATTGTATCGCTGTAGAAAGCAAACCAACGGCGGTAGAGGTTTTGGCCACGCGAATGGCTTCGCTGCCCCACTTTGGGCCGGGAAAGGTTCTTATGATGGTTTGAGACCCCTCCCCCTCTGTAAAGGGGAGGCTCCCATACAAATGAAACAGAGATTTCTGCATAACTCGAGAACTAATCAAGCAAATGGAACAAAATTTTGCATGTGGAGGTCATAGGGGGTAGCCCCTTAGATAAGAGGGAGGAGGGGGCAAATGGCTTGAAAACGCCAACATACACGGCCAATGATAACGACACAAATTTCAGTTTAGTTTACTCATAATCGTCAAAAGTGCAGGAACTCAGCGATCAGTAAATTTGCCTCATGTTTTTCTGTGGTAAACCTCAAAAATCTGCCGGAAAATGAGGAGAATTAACGAAAATGTTACTCAGTCTAGGAGTAGTACCAATAGAGTGAGTAGTAACGATTCACTTTTCTCAAATTTGGGATTTTTTCCTGGACAAACTTGGAAAAACATGAGGCAAATTTACTCATCGCTGAGTTGCTGCACTTTATGTGATTTATGAGTAAACTAAACTCAAATTTAGGTCGTTCTCATTGGCCGTGTAGTTCTGAAATCAATCACTAAATGGAAGAACAGCCATGAATAACCAAAACGTGCTAAACACGCCCAAATAACCCATTTATCACAAAAATGGCATTGCAACTCCTAAATTATTTAGAAACGATAAAATATTTAAGAACGTAAGATTCGGTTAAGAGGTTTCACCTAGTATAAGATAAAAGTCCTTTTAATTCCGATTTTTTTTTATAGTTTGAGAAACGCTGCTATGCAGTGTTGATCATTTGCTGCTCCACTCCGATGCATTGATAGGGCTAATGTCGCAGCAGTGACCACCACGGCTGCAGCCAATCATCAGCTCAACACAATTTAAGGTTTATAATTAAATTACAACATTACAAGCTCGGTCCTTTTGCAGGCAGGCAACCGAGGCGAAAACAAAAATAAAGCTCTCGCGTCCTCGTGGCTTGGATTTTTGTTCACGTTCGACAGCGCGACGGCGGACCAGCAGGCAGCAGTCAAGAGTCGTCAACAAACGGCTTGCCTACTTGCTGTTGTGCGTTTGTTCGGCAGAAATGTGATAATAACAACATTATATTTGAGGAACATACGTCACGACACGACCAACTACCGCAGAGAGAAAGAGAAAGAGAGAGACAGAGCGGTCATCGTAGAGTGGCGAAAACGTTTCATTTGGAAGCCGTTGTCTGCACTACACTGCCCTGTTCTGCTTGATTGTGTGTAGATATCGCAGACTGTGTGGTGGTCAGTCCAGTTGAAATACATACAAAGCGATTCAGCGATTATGCAGTGTATGGAGAAAGGCGGCACTTTTTTTTTATTATTTATTAATATTAATTAAAGCTTTGGGACTTTCAGGGTTCTAACACTTTTGACATTAGTTTTAGATAATTCTGCCGAGAATACCTATGGAAATTTGGGGAGTATTCTAAAAGAATTAAATTTCTAACTCCGAATAAACGCTAAGAAGGATTTCTAAACAAATTTAGGACCAATAAATTTTGGAGTTCTTTAAGTTAATTTTGAGATTAAGTACTAAGAAAATCTTAGATGAATTCCAATGGATTGTTGTGGAAGGAAGTTCTGTATTGATGCTGAGGAAAATTTAATAAGATTCGCGAAGAGAATAGCAGGAAAATTTTAAGGAGAATTCCAATTCAGATGATGATGATTTCAAATGAACACTGAGGAAGGTTCAGGGTCTACAACCTCTAAAACTCACCCCTTCCCGGCAGTGTTCTATAGGTTTTCGTAGGCATACCTCGGTTCGGGTGAAAAGTGCATTACAAGTGTCTGTTTACAAAAGCTGATAGATCCTTTTCAAATGTCACGCGGAAAATATTAACTGACATTGAGAGCTCCATATTCCCTTAATATAGATGCAACGCTCTGTACAAGAAGAAAACACACAACAACAGAGGCTCTAATCACTTATCGATCCACCGTAGAAAACGCTTTGCTTGTGGACTGTGAATACACAATCAAACATCGCGCCGCCCATCAATGCGTTACAGCAGCAGGGGTTATGTAAATACGAGTCAGACATCTGGAACCGTTCTAGATTAATCTAAGAATCAACTCACATGGGCTTAGAATCGAGCACAGCACCACTCCTAAATAATGTAGATGAGAAAGTGCCCCACATCGTCGGGTCACTCATGGCAAATCCGCTTTAACTGGAACGAACCGGGAGGAATGTTGTGTTTCCTTCTTCTTTTTTTAAATCAGTAGGTACATACAAAGCCTAACGGGAGAGGCATTATTTGTCATCATAACGAGTGAAGCTGCCTTCGAATTAGGCCTTGTGATTTCGAGTGCAAAACAAACGGCCCCAATCAAGGGTGGAGGGCGACGGAAACGCGAGAGGCTGTTTGTAAACATACATAAGTATATGTTGATTGTTGATATCATGCGTTTGCATGTACCAAACAAACCATGGCCAGTTCCGTCCGGAGCCGTTACTTGATTCTTGAATACGCCTTTACGGTATGGCGTTTGTTTTGCTTTTCCATGCATGAGGATCTTTTTTTTATGTTGCATTAGAGGACAATTCTTTTGAATTTTGTGTGGATTCGCGTGTGGTTTTCGGCTGAGTTGTACAGCTGCGGTTTTGAATCTGTGAGGCCATACTGCATGCCACTTGTTTAAGGGAAGCCTGCGGCTTAGGGAGCTGGCACATTGCGTTACAAGCAATGAGTTTGTTCCAAGCAGTGTTTTAATTGAAAACACTGTGTGTGGGACCAAAGTTCATTTTTAAAGTTCTGTAATGTCCTCTCTTAAAATATTCCATTGCATGTTTCGAAGAGTCAATGAACTCCACAGCAAATTTGCGATGTAATCTAACAATTAGCATACAATGTTGACATGCTAATCATAACTCCATTAGTTTTAATGAATTTTTAGTTTAATTTTCAATAACTCGGCTCCGTAGAGTTTATCTAATTCCAGAACATATGAGCGGCAGCCATCATATCATATGAGTATTGCGTGTACATATTAAACCAAAATACAATATGATTTTCCAAAACAAATACGAAATAGTTCCCGATCTGCTGAGTCAGACGATAATCAATGGTCAAGTGTGGGTCAATCATCAACGACTGAGTCATCAACTCAAACACAATCTACGTCACTTCACTCAAGTCACTTAACAAAATGCTTGAGATGATTGCGTGCAAGTCCACACGCCCTGCGTGAACCCAAACCTGTGAATTGCTCTAACCAGCTGGATTATCACATCCATGCGAATCAGCCCAACTTACACCCAGTAGGATCTGATGACAGCTGGGTATTTTCCTGCTCTACGTCTGAAAAAAAAATAATAACGGTCTGGTCTGGACGCACGGGCCATCAACCCGGTCGCTCTTCAAGGGAAATGCTTCCCCGTCTTTGTGCAACTTTCGAAGATTTTGAACCGGGAAATCGTGCATCAAGATTTTCCACACTTGTCTTGATGCGAGATCGATCTGGGATCGAGACAGAGAACAGCTGTTTCTCCTGTTGTCTTGAACAAAGACGATGTCGCCGTGTGTGCTAGCAGCTGGTGGGCCATTGCACAATCACAGTCTCTATGCGATGAAGTTTCGTTCACCCAAGCAAGACAGACCAGAGGAGACTAGAGGAGCAAGAAGAAGAATTTCAAAACTTACCATTCAATGACCAGATGTGTGCCGGCAAGGATGTGGCCGCGTAGACCCTACCTAGCGCTAGTGACGCGGCACTCGCCGCTGCATTTTCCTCGGCGGAGCTACTGTCGGTTTCCGGACTGGCGGAGGATATTTCGTACGGCGCTCCTGGAAGAAAAGAGAACGGAAAGAAGCGATTTTCAGTTATGAGGATTTGTGTGTCGATTTTTCAAATATTGGAGAAAGTAAGAGTGCCTACAAGTAGAATGACGACATGTCCGAAATCTGTTAACGGCTTCGAAAAGGTCATTCCAATGAGACCTGTCAAATTGCTGAGATGTTGTCACTCTCCCTACAGGCACTCTAGGAGAAACTATACAGTTAACTCTACTCAACTCGTTATTGAAGGGATTATCGATAGGGGAGATATCGAGCTATGGATCGATATCTAAGAAAGTTGTATAGCGTTAGAAGTAGCCTGAATGTCCATCTAAGATAGTTAGAGTTATCGAGTAAGGAAGAGTTGAATGTATTTATCAATGTAGTTGTTGTAATTTTAATTTACTTGATTATTATTATAGACTTAGGGTAATTTGCTAATTGTTGTACAGCTAAGCACGTACTTTTTGTTATCTGTATTTTTAAGAGATTAATATCGTTTTTGAAGTAGGGATGCCTCGAAATACTTTTGAATGTGATGGATTAAGCATTTACTGCGCTCATCAGCAATTTATATTGGTAACACCATTCTGTATAGTAAAACTTTTGCATGTCCCTCAGAGTCCAATTGTGGCACGCATCATTTGCTATGAAATTCTATAATTGCACACTTTGTATCTAATTATTGGACACCCATAAAACATGGCTAAAGGCATCCTCGAATGACATTTTTCAGCAAGAATAATCATTGAGTGATTCTGTTAGATGGTAAACGTAAGTTTTCGGCAAGGTTGCAAAGACTCATTTCAGCTAAAACAATGTTTTTCTTAATTATGAAATAATTAGATGCCATGATCAAATTTTGAATTGGTAGGATACAAGAAGAGGTTGCAAAGAATGTGTTTGACATATTAAACCTGTTTATTTCACTTCATGAGAGTCACAATCAGCGATTTTTCACAAACTCACTCACTCACTCACTCAGCGATCAGCAAATCGCTGATTGTGACTCATAGAAAGCAAAATTTACAGGTTTTATGTTTCCAACGCATACTTTGTAACCTCTTCTTGTAAGTTACAAGTAAAACATGCCATCATACCATCTTTTGGTTTTATTATTCCGAAAAACATTATTTTAGCTGAAATGAGTCTTTGCAACCTTGGTTTTCGGTATGTTTACTTACGATATCAGCTATTTATATGAAACGTTGCATACCTTCAGGCGTTATCGCCATTCTTTGGTGCAAGCAATGGAAATAGTTACCTTATTTAAAAAAACGCAGGTAATCATGACGTTTGAATATTGAAAACAATTTGAATGAAGAAAAGAGACCTACTGCTGTCATGGTTACTTGAGATTTGTCAAATAATGTAAATATTTACACCGATTGCATCGAAGAATAGACATTAATCCAGGACCATGAGTCCACGAAGAGCTACTGATTCCCTGCATTAGCGGTGCAGCTTCTTCCTCTTTCTATGGATGCTCAAGTGGGTTGAAGCTCGCTGATTGTGGGGAGCCTTTCGTTGTGTACTGGAGAACACCACGCGGTAATTTAATAAACACCGTTTGTTGAGTCCGGATGGAATTCAACTTTGAAATCTGTGTTAGGGAAATCGCTTTTTTGCGCAGGCAATCGGTGATAATTTTAATTATCAAAGCAACAGTTGCACATTCGTGCAATTTTCAATAGTGACATTTTGAAAAATGATAAAGTCTTAAATTTAACAGATGCGTAGAAATATATCTGATCGATTGGTGATAAAACTATTGAAATTTGTTCAGGTGCCGCTGAGTTATTAACGTTCAAAATCTTTCATAATTTTGTTACATGTTCCATTTTCGGTTTTCACAAAGTTTACCTCCATATAGAAATCACAGACGTAGTCCTACGTCAAAATATTGCCGGTATGGCAACAATTGGACAACATTATAAATTTCCAATAATTCTAAAACTCATAAGGCAACTAATTGTCGAATTTAAATTTAGATGATTTTGTGCAGTCAGAAATTTGAAAGTCACAGAATAATTTTGTTAATAATTATGAAAGACCGAACACTACTGGGCCGAGTGGGTCATTTGACTGAATGTTATAAAATCATGGATTGAACTTAGAAATTTCTATATAAAACAATGAGATTTACGGAATTTGAGACCTCGGTAGTCACGACATTTTTTTCCCATACGTTTTCATTGACATTTTTTTTTATCGAAAAAAAAAAGTCTCGTTACCAGCTCTCCTTGGGCTACTAAATTATTTGAAGATTACATGGGAAAGTTTTCAAGATTTTAAGGTAAAGCCAGTTGTTCACATTCTTGAACTTGTCGAACTTTCAAACTTGGCGTTATTTTCAACATCTCAGATTTAAAAAAAAAACACGACTCTTGGACTTGTGACTAAATTTTAGAATTCTGACACTTTGAAGAATTACTTAGAACATTTTGTTGAGAATGCCACTTGAGTTTTGAGGAGAATTCCAAAGAAACTTTACTTCAGTGAAACGTGAAACTTAAACGTTATTTTGCGAAGTATTTCAATAGAATTGTAAGGAAAACTCAAAACTAACCCCAAGTAGTAATGAAGAGACTATTATGGGGAATATTAGTAGAATTTCAGGGAATTCTAAAGCAAATACAGGGCTGTTACAATATCTTCTAAGTTTGATCCGCGATTTCTCAAAAGAAATCCGTGACTTCAAATACTAATCCACGACAGATAAAAAACTGTTTTCATTGCATTTAAATACCATTTGTATTACTACTACATGGCATTTATAGCTTATTGCTTATAACATATCAGCTGTTTGCTTGCTCTAAACTTAGCGTTCTTTGAAGGACTTTCACATGTTAATTGAGAGCTTTCTATGCCTGTACCACTAGACTGATGCAAAATTTGACTTTTTCGCTCCACAGTGCTTAAATGGTTTCAAATCGGGTTCTGATTAGCCTCCCAAAGTTACAACTCATTTGGTTAGAAACAGACTTCGCACAAGCCATTTAAAGTTTACTTGTAAATTACTATGGGAAATCTCAACTTTTTGTTCATTGCCTTCTAGTCTTTTTCTATATTAAGCTGCGAAACAGTTCGATAGCTATTCTTATAGAAAATTTTCTCAGCTATAACTTTGCTGAAGATCGTTTCTATGTAAAACGAGAAAGGAAAAAGTTATTAATTATTTGAGAGATTGATAAACTTATGACATGATCAAGCAGTTGCTCTGTAGACAACACTGTATTTTGCAGTGTGACATAGTAGCCATGATTTTTGTGTCCTATTCAACGCCCCAGAAACACCAATGTTGCCTGCTGAGCAGTTGATTGAGCATGATCATAAGACATCAGCGCATTGAACCATTGATAACTTTTGATCCTTGCATTTAATCAAAAAGTGGTATTGCGCAAAGTTGTAGCTGGGAAAATTGTGGGTTGTAGCTGGGATATGGTGAATTATTAGATAGACATGAACAAAAATCTTGGTTTTACCATAGTAATTCCCATACAAACTTCAAATGGTTTGTGCCATCTCAGTTTCTCACCAAATGGGTTCAAATTTTGAGAGGTTAGTCAGGATCTGATTTGGAATCGTTTAAATATTGTAAATATTGAGCGAAAAATTCAAATTTTGCGTCACTCTAATGCTCATGTGGGCTACAGCTCGCTGATTGCGGGGAGCATTTCGTTGTGTACTGGAGAACACCACCACTCACCACGCGGTGATTGAATAAACACCGTTTGTTGAGACCGGATGGAATTCAGCTTTGAAATCTGTGTTAGGGAAATCGCTTTTTTGCGCAGGCAATCGGTGATAATTTTAATTATCAAAGCAACAGTTGCACATTCGTGCAATTTTCAATAGTGACACTTTGAAAAATGAAAAATTCTTAAATTTAACAGATGCGTAGAAATATATCTGATCGATTGGTGATAAAACTATTGAAATTTGATCAGGGGCCGCTGAGTTATTAACGTTCAAAATCTTTCATAATTTTGTTACATGTTCCATTTTCGGTTTTCACAAAGTGTACCTCCATATAGAAATCACAGACGTAGTCCTACGTCAAAATATTGCCGGTATGGTTGATTGCAGCAATTGGACAACATTATAAGTTTTCAATCATTCTAAAACTCATAAAGCAACTAATTGTAAAACTTAATTTTAGATGATTTTGTGCAGTCAGCACTTTTTTCGAAGGGCACTAGACCGAACACTACTGGTCCTAGTGGTTCATTTGACTGAATGTTATAAAATGATGGATTGAGCTTAGAAATTCCTATATAAACAATAAAATTTACGGAATAAAAATGAGACCTCGGTAGTCACGACATTATTTTCCCATACGTTTTCAGTGACATTTTTTTTCGAAAAAAAAAGTCTCGTTACCAGCTCTGCTCGGGCTAAGAAATTATTTGAAGATTACATGGGAAAGTTTTCAAGATTTTAAGGTAAAGCCAGTTAGTTGTTCACATTCTTGAACTTATCGAACTTTCAAACTTGGTTTTATTTCCAACATCTCAGATTAAAAAAACACGACTCTTGGACTTGTGACTAAATTTTAGAATTCTGACACTTTGAAGAATTACTTAGAACATTTTGTTGAGAATGCCACTTGAGATTTGAGGAGAATTCCAAAGAAACTTTACTGAAATATTTAATAATGTATGTTTTACGTTATTTTGCGAATTATTTGAATAGAATTGTAAGGAAAACTCAAACTAACTCCAAGTAGTTATGAAGAGACTATTATGAGGAATATTAGAAAAATTCCAGGGAATGCAAAAGCCAGGGCTGTTACAAGATTTTCAAAGTTTGATACGTGATGTATTCCGGAAATTTTAGGTTCTACAAATCATCCAGGACATCAGTTGATTTGTTCTACTAGATCAATCAAGACTGCAAGACTGTAGTATCGAAATACGGCCAATCAGATTCAAATTGTCTATGTCGATCATGCATGACCTATTGCCATGTATACCAGATGTTCTAGGTTCTCCAAATCGTCCTGAAGA